GAAGGTTGAATGGTTGTGGATTTTGTTTATTTGATTACTTGCATAAACTTAATTTTAGTTAGAGGCTGGTTAGCAAATTAATCATGTAAAATATCTCGATCTTATTTTTAGTATGCCAGCATATTAGTATATTAGAAATTATTGTTTACCTATTGTATTGGGATTAAATTACTCCTATATTTTCTTAAATAAAAGTTTTTTGCCATTAAAAAAATAATAATAAAAGTGGAAAGTCGATTTGTAGATGGTAGTTCTAATTTGGAGGAGTTTAGCTATTATTTAGAAATTGTTGTCAAGCACAAATTGTTACTTGAGAAATAGGCTAAAAAGGTGTAAAAATGACACATTTAAAATTTAAAAAATACTTTTATATTCAAATAGTATTTATAATAATTAAGTCATTTATAACATTCTCATAAAAAATATTATATAATGTAGTTAATGTTGTAAAATAAAGAAAAAAATCAAGAATAAGAAGAAATTAGAAAGATATGGAGAGAAAATGTAAAAAGTGTGATCTTTCCTTATTTTTTCTTCTCTACTCTTCAATACACCATAAAAGATTACAAGCGATATTTATTGGTTAAGGAAGTAGTAGAAGTTACATAAATTCATCACTCACTAATGAGGAGTTACAAGGTTTAATCTTCAAAAAGTGGGTGTTAAACACTATTATATGACATGTGTAAATGCATGAACTTAATGAGATATTATATAGAAATGGGGAGTTGCAGGGTGAGATATGGTCACCATTAATTATTATTGCATGGAAGGAGTGAGAGATGAGGAAGATAAAGGGTGGAAGGTGAAACATCTACAATGAAGTTGCTTCATAATACTTTTTCTTGAGTATTCACCTTTTATGATACACTTAATTAAATTGCTTTATTAAAAACTTTTTCATGAAAAATTTGGTGAAAAAAAAAAAAAAAAACTGTGACAAAGGGAAAAAGAGTTTAATTTGTATAATGCTCCCTATTAATTCAACAAATATTTGTAATCAAACAATTCATGCCAATCTTGTATCTCAATACTCAAAAGTTCTAGTAACCAATGATTTTGTGAAGAGCATATGCTAGATTCTCACTTAAATAAATTTTATAGAAATTATTTCACTTATCTCCAAGAGTTCATATGTAAAGAAAAACTTTAGTGACATATGTATTGATTCTATCTTATTTAGTATATAATTATCAATTACTTATGTAATACTTGCAGCATTAACTTGCATGCTATAGCCACATTTGTATTGAACACATTAGATATATTCCACAAACATATTCTTAAAGAACATAAATATTTTTGAATTGTTTGTGAATAGAGCAATACTAATATTTGTATATAAATACTATATTTGTCTTCATGTGCATATAATAAATATTTAGAATCAACATATCCAATTAACTTGGATGTTAAGTGCTTCGTATATAATAATCATATAGTATTTTTCCCTTGACGTTTAAAGGTAAGAAAATGTATTTAATTCCATTCCAATAACTTCAGTCAATGTATAACAAAATCTCACCATTTAATTTTCGGAAACTACTATATTATAGCATATATATATATATATAAATATATTCTCAACAAGATATATCAATGCAAGGATTGCAATCAAATATGGTAGTTTAGAACCAAAAATATCTTTTCAAGGATGAAAAGTGTCATCCTTAATGACAAGGGATCAAGCCACCATTAGTGAGATCAAAACATGAGCTTTATTAGTATTAAGGCACTCCAAAATCTTTTACTCATAATTTGATTGATAACAAAAATCAAACTTGATAAATGCTTGATCTGTGGGTCGAGTTATACTTTAATTATTTTGAGATTTTTCATCTTATAGTCATTTTTTATAATATGCTATTGTTTTATCTAAACTCTTCAAGAGATCTAATCATTAACATATTTTGCTTTAATAGCAAATTTCACTTTTAATCCCTTAGTAAAAACATACGTAGTAATGAACTATTTTTCTAACTTGTTAACATAAAGAAGAAGAAGAAGGGATTGTGTAGAACCAAGTATTTTATTGATGAAGAATGAAGAGAGTTTACAATGGTGAGAGAATGAAGAAAAATCCCCTTCCTAAGTGTAGCATTGGGGCATTTATAAAGTATTACATAGAATTATCCTAATTACAACTTCTAGTTGCTTAGATATTAGATATTGGATATTCTAATACTAATAGATTTTAGCTCCTCTAATCTTGATAGAACTCTTATAAGATGCTTTCATGTGTCCTAATTTTCATAGGACTCAATTTAGGATATAACATTTACCCCTCCATAAAGAAGTTTAAATGTAGTGAGAACTATTTTCATCATTCCTACCTTTGGCAAAGGTTTCAAATTTTGATTTATGAAAGTAAGTTCTCTCTCTCTCTCTTGCATGCTTCATAGGATGTTGATTTCATTTGACACTTGTTTACTCGATCTTCTATCTTCACAGGTTTTTTGAGTAAGCTTTGGATAGAACTCTTGACTTTTTGAAAAGTTGACAAAATTTAAAATATTAATTGTAGTCTTTGTGTCTGAGAGATTCTAAATCTTTATAGCAAAGATTCTATTTCCAATGGTGACTGTCTCATTAAAAACCTTAGCGAGGAAAAAACCTTATACAATATAAAATTAGTTTAAGGGAAAAGTTTTCAGCATAGCTTTCAAGAAAATCCTACATTTAGCAGATATTTTGGTCCTTGTCCTTAATTGATGCAGATTTTCAATAATTCTCCATTTTTGGGGATAGATATTCTATTTTTATATTATAAGACATTTTACTACAGTTCCTTGCTCCATTGATTATGTTGTGTTGCTCCATGCACATGCGTTTAGCGGAGATATTCCTAAACACTTAATCTTGAATTTTGAGACTCGCTTTATCTTTCTTTCTTTTGAAGCTGTGTAATATAGAGCTTTTGTCATATCATTCACCTTTGTTCTTCTACACAGTTTTTACAATGATGTGTGTCTTTAATTCTTTTGCTACAATTTCTAGATCTATTTTCTTTTACTACATGTCTTTGGCTAGTTAACAGTTGCAAAGCTTTTCT